GAAAAAAGTCCCTGGTTTCTGAAATTTTACATTCTGAATCCGCTATAAAAATGTTAAAAGACGAAAATTCCAGAACATTAGCTCGAGCCACAATTGTTAAAAAAGCCAGGAATGTAGCAGGTAGTCAATTTGACAGGGCTGAACATGTCAAACATAGGTCACTGAGGAAAGTAGCTACACGCATTAGAGATAAGGTCGCGGAGAACCATGCCGTGATTTGCAAAGCTGATAAAGGAAACTCGATAGTTATTCTTCCCAAGCGTGACTACTTAAACAAAGTTTACGCATTTTTCGAGGCTAACGACATAAACCAAATGAGCAAAGACCCGACAGCTAAATATTCTAAAGAAATTAATAAACAAATTAATGCTAGCACAAAGCTACTGACAAAAACTGAGATGAAAAGTCTAAAAGTAACCAACCCACAGGCTCCTATTTTTAGAGGGTTGCCAAAAATTCATAAGCCGGACATACCCATAAGGCCACTTGTAAATTTCATTCCATCCCCAGGATACAAAGTTGCAAAGAAATTGGACTCCATAATACGACGCGAGGTCAAGTTTGACAAAAGTTCTAGTCTAAAAAATAGTATTGATCTTGTAAATATGATAAATCATGTCACACTAAAAGATAGTTACATTCTAGCATCATTCGATGTAGTTAATCTGTACACAAATGTACCAGTAAATGAATCCCTTTCAATACTCGAAAAGAACTTATTAACAAACTCATCTTTATGCAAAGAAGCAATAACCAACCTCATAAGACTCACCGAAACTATTATGAAACAGAATTATTTCCAGTTTGAAGACAAAATATTTTTACAAAAAGAAGGGTTAGCGATGGGTTCTCCACTATCATCCATATTAGCAGAGATATATTTAAACGACCTTGAGAATAAACATTTATGGTCTGATAAAAACCGCCTGAGAGAAAAAATGGTATTTTATCATCGTTATGTAGACGACACTATTGTCCTGTTTAATGGCACAAAGCGACAGTTGGGAATGCTACTAACTTACATGAACAGCTTACATAAAAACATAAAGTTTACTCTCGAAACCGAAAGTAATAAAACACTGAATTTTCTAGACCTTAGTATCTCAAGATGTTCTGATGAAAACAAACTCGTTTTTAAAATCTATAGAAAACCTACAACCACACACCAGACCATCCATAACAGTTCACATCATCCACAAAACCAGAAATTGGCAGCTTATCACAGTTTTGTTAATAGATTACTATCAATCCCGATGTCTGAAGAAAACTACAACGAAGAGGTCAATACCATTAAATATATTGCAATAGCTAACGGTTACAGGAGCAATATCATCGACAAACTAATCTTGAAACATAAGAACAAAAATAGCCGCATAAAAACAACCTTAGACAGACCGAAATACGTTTCCACCGAATTTGGCAGCTATCTCAACCATACATTAAGCAGAGAAATGTCTAAAAACCAAGTTATCGTCTCATTTAAAACTTCAAATAAACTTTCATCAGTATTAAAAGATAAGAAAACAAAACGTGACGACCAAACAGAAAATTCAGGTGTATACAAACTGAATTGTGACAGTTGTCCAAGCTTTTATATTGGTCAGACTTCACGGTCATTTAAAACACGTTTTAAAGAACATCTCCCGAAACCATCTGTTAACCAACCTAACTCCGCATTTGCTGAACATTTAATTAATAACAACCATGAATATACAGATTTTAACACCAATCTAGAAGTTCTACGATCCCATAAAGGAAGAGGAAGGTTATTAGATACTATTGAGGAATACGAAATTTACAAGGCCGGCAAAAAACACCCCCAACACATCCTAAATGATAAATCCTCATTTGAATCCAATATAATTTATGAGACAGCTTTAAACATCGACGAAATATTATCAACAGCTGATAACTCGAGGGGGAAGGTGGGGAGAGGAAGACACGGCGTCAGTCTAGACCTACACCCTGTACCCGCCGCTGTGTTGTAAATTAGTTGTGTGGCCATGCATTTTATCGTTTTTTGTTTGTGTACGTGTTATATGTTACGTGTTACGTGTGTTTCAAGACTCATGACGACCTCCTAGGAGCGATTTTTACGTTCAGCTTGACAATGATGCCATAGACATCGAAACCGGTCGCACTAATGACGACTTAAGGATTACTTGGACAGAATCAAGGTAACTTAACCTCTTGTATACAACACTAGTACTCGTGGGAAAGATTCAACGCTACACTCGTCAGTGTAACACCTTAGCCAACTTAGCTACCATGCCACCGTCGGCTGGGCGTGACAAGTGTCGCAATAAGCACACTAGTACTCGTGGGAAAGATTCAACGCTACACTCGTCAGTGTAACACCTTAGCCAACTTAGCTACCATGCCACCGTCGGCTGGGCGTGACAAGTGTCGCAATAAGCACACTAGTACTCGTAGGAAAGATTCAACGCTACACTCGTCAGTGTAACACCTTAGCCAACTTAGCTACCATGCCACCGTCGGCTGGGCGTGACAAGTGTCGCAATAAGCACACTAGTACTCGTGGGAAAGATTCAACGCTACACTCGTCAGTGTAACACCTTAGCCAACTTAGCTACCATGCCACCGTCGGCTGGGCGTGACAAGTGTCGCAATAAGCACACTAGTACTCGTAGGAAAGATTCAACGCTACACTCGTCAGTGTAACACCTTAGCCAACTTAGCTACCATGCCACCGTCGGCTGGGCGTGACAAGTGTCGCAATAAGCACACTAGTACTCGTAGGAAAGATTCAACGCTACACTCGTCAGTGTAACACCTTAGCCAACTTAGCTACCATGCCACCGTCGGCTGGGCGTGACAAGTGTCGCAATAAGCACACTAGTACTCGTGGGAAAGATTCAACGCTACACTCGTCAGTGTAACACCTTAGCCAACTTAGCTACCATGCCACCGTCGGCTGGGCGTGACAAGTGTCGCAATAAGCACACTAGTACTCGTAGGAAAGATTCAACGCTACACTCGTCAGTGTAACACCTTAGCCAACTTAGCTACCATGCCACCGTCGGCTGGGCGTGACAAGTGTCGCAATAAGCACACTAGTACTCGTAGGAAAGATTCAACGCTACACTCGTCAGTGTAACACCTTAGCCAACTTAGCTACCATGCCACCGTCGGCTGGGCGTGACAAGTGTCGCAATAAGCACACTAGTACTCGTGGGAAACTCGAGCTATACTCTGGCTTAGGTTTTAAAGTGTTAAATATTATCTCTCTCTTAAATGAAGTTAACAAGATTTATAATACTTTTGTCACTTCTAACAGAACAGAAGGTTGAAAAGGTTCCCATATTAAGATATTCTTATCATTAAAATGGTTTCAACAGTGGACAATATTTATTGGTGTTGTAGATTCAGTTTTAAACTATAGATATGGCTTACTATCAAAAAAGAAATGATTAATAGCAATACAAATGCCACCTTATCAGCTATATCAGTAATATATTTATCACAAACTTATCTTAACTGGGCCAAATATTAAGTTTATATTCTTACACACTTGATTTAATATGTTACGTAATTTAATGCGTAAAAGGAACAAAATGATATCTTAACTTAGAAAAATCTATTTTCTCGTGAAAACGAACAATTTTTATGAAGCGTAATACAGAGTATATACAGTTTCATAAACAAATAATATTCCCTTGTCTGTTTAGTATTTAGTCGCTTCTTCTTTAAAAACACATTGACTTTAAATTAGGTATTTGACTGAAAAAAACTTTAAATCACTATCTTTGTGGTGAGGTTTAAAAATTTGCTTCCTTTCGTATACACACAAGACTATTCATATGCAAATAAATAAATATATAAAATAAAGGTGTTTAGGACAAATCCATCAAATTACGAAATTGTATTTTCAAAATATTGACATTTTGCAGCAGACAAATCTTGAGCATATAAATTAGTTGTCACAATAAGATGAATGAGTAGAAATTCCTAAAGAATACAAATGTTGATCTTAAGATAAATCCTTAGGGTGATGAACTGTCGACAGTATATTTGTCATTTAGTGTAGTTGGTTACTCTGCCTTTGAAGAGAGATTATTGTTAAATGTAGTGCAATTGTTATTTCAATGTTATACCACTTGGTAACTAAAATAAGGAAGAGATACATGTTTGTACAATGCACAATATTGGTAGAATTAAAGTGAACCAACTGATATTAGCTTCGTATGAATGATTTAAGAGTGGAAATAACTATCCATGTGCTTTAATAACAGTTGTCTAATTATGATGGTAAGAGGACCAAGGAATAGGTGGGACTAACAGTTGCAACACTATGTAGCTTTTATAGACATTAACCACGGTATAAAACCTATTGATAAAAAAAATAGCAGAGATTGATTGATAATATTGTACTATCAAACTAAACAGTTTAAATAGCCACAAAATAAAAATTCTCAAATTAACTTTAAAAGTTTATTTACACAATACAAACCAACTTTAAAACAATATTTATTAAATCTCGACTTTCATTACAATAAATAATTATTACTTGAAAACAAATAAAAAGAACAAATCTATTTTTTTAAGACTCAACTGCTCTATTGATGTAATCTGATTATAACTAACATATAATCAGATAAAATAATAAGAGAAAACAATAAAAGGATTTCGTCAATTGATAAGAAATGAGATTAATATAGCATTATTAAACCTTAGTATTGTAAAGAGTGGAAATAGATTCTCTTCATGTTCTAACAGAACTAAATTACTCATGGCTGTTTGATAAAATTAACATAAAATCGTTGATGTTGACGGCCTAATTAACGTTGGGCTTACTGTACAATATTTTTTTTTTTAATTAGCTAAAATTTTTATGAATGTATTTTCTACCTTTTCAGTGTGTGTTATATTCCTATTATCAAATAAAATTAAATAAAAATGCCAACACTTATCCGCAGTAAGGAAAATGATTTATTCTACAACAACATTTAGAGGCTATAAAATCCCTCTCTTCTTACTACCTTTCTGACCACGTTTCCGGAGTCGCGCCTGCATGTTGGGGGTTGACGTCTGAAGGTAATTGTGGACTACGTCAAAGTCTTGGAACGGTGGGAATATCGAGTCGTCTGACAGCGGACCTCGGACAAGGAACTTGCGTTTGCGAGAGTTGGTCGTGAGGCGGTCTCCAGTGTCAATGCCTAACTTCTGGCAAACGCTCTGTGGAACAACAAGTAGTATAGTAAGGATTTATGTCTACTTAATAAAATGTCTACTGTTGAAAGTCGCAACTAGTTCATGATTTTTATAAAGGGGTTTTTTTTACATCCTAGGTTTGACAGTTTATATTACAAATATGGTTTTGTTACAATTATTTCATGTTATTATTATTATCTATATAACTAAATCTATCTATATATATTTGTATATTAGAAATGTTAAAATTATAAACATCGGCTTTGCTCTGGAAGTAATAAGTCCTGCAGTCTGGGGTTAACATTAAGAACTAATTCATACCATGTCCATATGTTTAGTTTTAAACAAAGTGAATTGAGTTTGATCCAATGTCGACGAATAGCGCCACCGTCCCGAAACTTTAGCCCTTAACTGTACTTAAATTATGCCTTTTCTTATTATTCTGAGACGTATTTGCACATCTACGTGAAAATATCTTTAATTTGACACCTGAAACGTTAGAATCCGTCGAGCCGCTATCGAGTTTTAACTGTGAAAAGAAAACTGCTTGCGTATTAATATATAGATAATACTCTTTATGCAACAAAATGTTTACAACATCTGTTGACAACAAGTATTTTGATATATTTTTACAACAAGACCAAGATTAAAATCAATGGTAAAACCTATACAAGCTGTTGAAAATTACAAAATACTATGAAACCCCCTGCATTAGCACATGCTGCTAGATTGACCAACCAGTGCATTAGGACAGCAAGTAGAGGCATTTGATATAAGGTTTAAGTAAAAGTTCAATTTGCTACTGTGCTACGTACTGCGATCATCCTGCAGATCTTGGTCTCAAAGTCTGTAGAGTTGTCAATGACATCGAAGTACGGATGACCGACCCAAGCAGCCGCAGCATTGTAATCCAGCTCCCGAGCCAGGACCACTCCTTCACTGCGACACGCGTGGTCCTGCGCACACAACACGACAATGACATCTGGCGATAGGGTGTGAGGACCAAAGCAATGTTTATTTTTTGTTTCAAAATTATGAATTAATCAGAATTTTAAATATTAGTTTCAAGCGGTGTGAGAAATATTATGGGAATCATTGGAAATTTAAGCTTAAGAAATTATTTAATTATATTGTCTATTGTAAGTGTACATGAACATTTAAAAACAACTGATTCAAAATTAAAATTTAAAGGTCACAGAAACTATCATTTTAAACAAGCTTACGGCCTATTCTTGCAGGGATAAGGTGAGGAATTAATTTTTTGAGGGGAGAGGTGTACTGTTTTTTTTTTCAGTTTAAAATGTGCTTATTTTGCATGTTAACAAACATGCAAACGATTGGGGATAAGACTTAGGGTAAAAACACACATACAGCGATTCAGAGCAGAGCAGGATCCAGAGCGGAGCAGGATCCAGAGCGAGCTGTAGATTATAGCGAAAGCGACACGAACGGGAGCTCCATCATTTCCAAGATATCACATAGCAAGTTCGCAGCAATTTGCAGCACAGCAAAAAGGCAGCGGCCTTCGAAGTGGCAACATCGCAAGCAGGGTTGTAACAGCTGTTTTGTTTTGGAGGCAGCTAATAGTATTTGTGTATTTTTTAAGAATATGAAAGCTTGGTTACTGGGCTATGAAAATATGGACTACACTGTAAATGTACAAAAATAGATTTTCAATTTTTATATCTTGTTTTGGTTTTCAATTCTCTTTGTTTTATTTTCAATCTTTGAATACATTTATGTTCATAAATTTAAATTTAAATGGATAACATGCGAATTAATGAGCTGGTGTCATCTGTTTGCCATGTTATCTTATGGGATGTCTGGGGCTAGACAAGTTAAAGGTGGCCGTGGCAAAAACATTTGGCTAAAAACATTAGGCCTACGAAGTGACTATTCGCACATCAAAATGATGTCACAACCCGTTCCTGTTCCAGTATTACAAAATAATGAAAAGGGAGCAGTCACTCTAGACCCCATTATGAATTACTTACTCGCTCATATTAAATTTCTGTGAAGATGGAGGTTCTCTTAACATTTTTCTATTTTGAAGGGAAAGACGAGCATAATCAGTTAAGGATTGAGCATTCTAGAACAGTCGATTAAGCGCGAAAGCCATTTCTGCTATCAAAAAGAATTTTTGAAATGTTACAGAAAGTTTGGTTAGGTTAGGTTAGTTAAGAGTAGTTTAATTTCAGAATTCTACTATCAAGCGGTATTTTGAAATGTTACAGCAAGTTTGGTTAGGTTAGGTAATAGTTTAGAGCAGTTTAATTTCATAATCAATATTATAGTTGCGGGCAGATAAAGTGAAGTTGATTCCACCCATTTTGGCTAATGAGTTAAGAGACACTACCGTTCCTATACTAGGTTTTCTTTGAGTGCAACCTGTTATGAAAGAGTTTTAAAAGTAACTGGATTAGGAACGTATAATGTGGCGTCATTTGGAACAGACATGTGTGGTAGGAGACGTAGGTATTGGCTAACTCAGGAACCCGCTAACTCGGTCGTGTGTCGGAACTGGCTAACTCTGGAACTGGCTAACCGTCTCAGTCAGGAATTGGCTAACTCCGGAACCCGCTAACTCGATTTTGTCTCGTGGCGGAATTCGCTAACTCTGGGAGTCGCTAACCCGGCCGCGCCTACTGCTCGGAGCGTTGCCAAACTTGTACGACAAAATAATCGTACACTGCCGTATTTTAAAATGTCAGTGTCTATAAAGATACAGTAAATGTTATTGTTTTTTGTTATCAATTCCACTTTTAACAGATAACTAGCCCAAAGTAATTAAAAGACAATTAAAAAATCATGAAAAAGTGTTTATTTATTAAACTGTACAATGGCTAGTTAAATGTTTATGATTTCGATCTTAAATATAAATGCCATCAATATAAAAAAAATATAGGAATATGAAAAATATTCAAAATTTAGTTTAGTTGGTACTAAATAATTAAACCTCTACGAAATTAAGCTAAAATACACGCAAGTTCTTAAACACGGAAAACAGATTTAATTGTAATGTCGTAATAAACCAAAACCATTAATTAATACAGTCATCAACCATCGTAACTTTCGCAACTAATTCATAGATTTTAAATTAAATGTTCGTCGTTGAACCGTCCAACTTACGTGTACAGATATGATGACATAGACTAAGTTTTTATCTAGGCCTATTAGTTTGAACCAAAGCATTGTAGGCCTACTAGTAAATAGTTGCCTAATTCTAAAATGTGTTGAATTTTTTAGCAATTACATGTTTTAAAACCGTTTTTAGATTGTACACCTAAGCACCACTAGTAAAAAATAGGAGAAGATATAATATTCATATAATAAAACGTGATAGGGTTATTTTAATTCACGATTCTTATTAATAAACGAATTGACGAATTTTCCTGATTTGAGTGTTGGGTTTCCTTTATATTGCTTTCACAATCGATATAAACTATACCAAGCCATTGCTCGGTTCACCGTTCCCCAGTACTGAGCTACACAATAGACAATAGCTTTGTTTTGGGATAAGATCAAGTAATTTTAGCTATGGCCACCATTCATAAGAATTGTAACAAACAAGAACGCCTGGGTCCATTTAGAACCAGCCTGGAGAAAAACTCCAGACTTTTAAAAAGTAGGCCTACTGAAAGACGTAAAATTAATATTAATTCAACAAAATTAAGAGGATGACCCGGGTTCTACACTAATAGCCTACGATAAAAGAAATTTACAAGTTGTATTTATGCATAGACTAACTTTTAATGCAGTCCATGAATACATTAGGCCTACCACTTTATAATGTATTGATAAATATTTATTTAAATTCAATAGCTCTATTTAAAAATACATTACCACTAAAATGTAATTCTGTAATGATGTTTAACGTGTAAATTTTATTATTTCTACATCACATTCATTTAAATCATTTATTTCTAATCACAACTAATAACAAGTCCCCTAGTTATATGACCAAACGGTAAAGAACAAATCATGAAGTTAACTATAAAATAATAGAAACACAATTTTGTCGACACTGACGATCAGTGTCACCGGACATGAACTAGACACGAAAAACGAGCTTCAAAGTTTACAATGGGATGTAAAGTTTACTTGTGTTGGTTAGTCTATGTTAAGACTATAATGCATTTTCCACCCTAATAATCATAAGAATAATGAAGGCTAAGAAGTTCTGTCCTTTACCGGGAAATAAAATAAATCTACAAAAACGTTGATAAAGCACTTTTAAAACACAAACCCCGATTTACCATGAAAACTGTAGCAGTATAGTAACCTTCTCTCTAGGCATCCAAGCCCAAAACAGAAGAGTAACCAAACCTAGGTGCGACTCCGCCATTTTGTTTTTGGATTCTTATAATGAATCATAAGAATTTCAAAAAAGGCTCTAGGTCAGATATCAACAATTACCGTCCAATATCAGTTTTAAGCAATTTTTCTAAAGTCTTTGAAAAAGTTATAAATAACCAATTAGTTTGTTTCTTTGAACATAATAATCTGTTTTATCAAAATCAATTTGGTTTCAGGAAAAACCTTGGAACAAATACAGCTCTTGTACACTTTATTAATGAGGTATCGGAGGCTTTGGATGGGTCAAGGAATGCAGCTGGTGTCTTCTGTGATCTATCCAAGGCCTTTGATTGTGTTGATCATTCGCTTTTGCTTCAAAAACTACATGACTATGGAATTTCAGGAAGTTGTCTTTCCCTAATTAGATCATACCTTTCAGATCGGAAACAAAGAACTGTAATTTCTGATGAAGGAACTAGGCATTTCTCACATTGGAAATGTATAAAGCTTGGGGTGCCTCAAGGCTCCATTTTAGGTCCCCTTTTCTTTTTAATCTACATAAATGACCTCCCTAAAGCTATTAATAGAGATTTGATTCTGTTTGCTGACGATACTACTGCAATCATTAAAGAAAATAGTAGAGAAGAGCTTCTTACATCTCTCACAGAAGTTATGAAAGAAATGGAAAATTGGTTTAAAATAAATGGCCTTAAACTAAATGTGGATAAAACCCAAATTATAAAATGTTCAGCCAGAAATGAAAGAGAATTAAATAGTTTTACCAATATAGTCCATACAAATACATTCCTAGGCATTCATCTAGATGAAAATATTAACTGGAAGGTGCATCTAGATGCTATAAAGAAAAAAATTAGATCTGCATCATCTGTCTTTGTCCACTTGAGAGAATGTGTCACCATTGAAGTACTTAAAATGGTTTATCATGCCTATGTAGAATCCATCTTGAGGTATGGTGTGATTTTGTGGGGACAGGCAACTGATGCAAAAACTATTTTCAGACTTCAGAAAAGAATCATCCGAATTATGACTAATTCCCACCCCAGAAGTCCTTGTAAATTACATTTTCAAAATTTAAAAATCCAAACACTCACAGGACTATACATATTTGAATTATTAAACTACATACACAATATAAAAAATAACCTCCCGGATTCATTCAAATTCACACACAACTATAGTACAAGAAACGAAACAATTTTCAGATCACCGTTTGACCTTATTTGAAAAAAGTCCTTTGTATGCAGGTTTAAAAATGTATAATAAACTACCGATATATTATAAAATAATGAGTTCAAACAAGTTTCAAGAAACATTGAAAAATGGACTCCTTGAACGTGCGTTTTATAAAATAGAAGAATTTTATAACCATCCCTTGAGTTAATTTTTTGTTTTTAATTTGCTTAACTACTGTACTGTATTAACATTATTTGGCTAGGTATTTTTTCCTGTTACTTTGTACTTTGTATTTTTCTAGTCTAGGCTCAATTTTGACAATGCACCTGTTCTATATGTTATCACATCTAAAAGAATGTTATGTGCAAATAAATAATGTCTAATGTCTAATGTCTAATGTTAAACATACTTCTAAATATATTTATTTTATCGACTACGTTGCTCTTAATCCTAATTAATCGTAGGATACGACATTATGGTACTGATACGATATAGGTACTACACTTTTGGCAACACTGGCCAAAAATATTCGTGCTTGGCTCCCATTGGACGGCCCGCGAGGCTTCTGATTGGGAGTTAGCGATTTCCGCCGAGGGACCGAGTTAGCGACTTCCGTACGAGGACGGAATTCGCTAACCCGGCTCTAGAGCGGGTTAGCAGGTTCCGGAGTTAGCCAATTCCGAAATCGAACCAGTTAGCGAGTTCCTCTCATCGACCAAATTTGAAGATAGGGCGTTTAACATGGGGTTAGCGAGTTCCAGAGTTAGCCAATTCCGCGGACCCTGTGGTAGTGGCGCACGTCTGATGTGCGAATAGCCTCAGCCAAAACATAAATTTTGCGTGCTTCAAACTGATCGGAGTGGTTGCATGGAGTAATGAAGGAAGGGAGGTACATGGTGAATATCACCATTTGTTCCCAGTTCTTAAGAAGCATTAATCGTGATTTATGCAATAACTGTCTACCTGGACCTTTGAATGCTTTCTTTCAAAAAGAGAAGGTTCTAGAACGCTCTGGGTATGTTCCGTTTAGGGTAGAATGGGCATACAGAGCAGCCTACTGGAGAAAGTGGAACTAAAAATGTCCACAAAATCGTTGCCCGCTCCGCTCCCAAACACTAGAAAAACAAACGAGATTGTTCTAAAGTTAACCGCTCTGCTCCGCTATGCTCGCAACAGCGATTTGTGTGCGTGTTACTACTTGATTGTACACGTTTGATTTTGTCACTCCAAATCGCGCTGTTCCGCTTCGTTCCCAGTCGCTGTATGTGTCTTTCTACCCTTACTAACAGGTAAAAAATTGTAAGTTAAGAGTTGTGCCATTCAATTAGATATTTAAAAAAAGTCTTGAATGTCAGATTCAAGAGATATTCAATTCTACAGGAGAGGAAAGAGGAACAGGAGATATGGATTATTAAAATAATTAAAATCACGAGTGTGGATTGTGGCATCAAAACAATTTCCCTCAGAGAACTTAGTAGTTTATACTTTTTAGAAATTGGACAAAGCTGTATGATTATTTAACAAATCAAACCTGGTATAATTAGTATTTTACAAGTACAGTAGAAACCTTGCATTTATCAGGAATGAGTCCTGTAATTATATGATAGCCAAAATTTCAGTTTTATTACTACTAGTGTGATGAGACTTTTAGATTCAATCTGTCACACTATCTTCAGTGATTCTTCACAATGTAGAACCTATTCATTAAACCAACCTTCTTCATTCTTTAATGTTCATTCAAATTGAAGGAATTTTCCTCTTCTTCTTAAAACACCCCTTCGATTACATCTGAAACTATGGCTAAAATAATGCATTACTGTGTCTTTTAAAACAGTTTATAGTTCCATGTATGACGGAATCAAGTTATTCCTAAGGTGAACCTAAATAAAAAAAAAAATTTGAGATATAACTTGGATATATTCTTAAATGTGTGCAATATTTCCCTCACTCTATAATGAATTTTATAATTTATTGTTTGTTTGCTTGGATTAACTGTTGTGATACCTAACTCTTAACATTAATATTGTTGTTAACATGTAATGAAGATATTAAGTTCAAAACCCTTAACTAGATCATAGGCTCAACATTTTATAGTAAACTGGACTATTTTTTGTTTTGAATGAGGACCAAAGTGTAACATAGTTTATTTGTTTTGATTTCTAGCATTCTATATTATATGATATCGGATCCTAGTGTTGTAAAACAATAATGAAACCACAGTTTGGATAGTAAAAATCGTTTAACCATCAAAATCTAACAAAATCAAATAAATATAACATAAAATAAATTTACCATAATCATCATTAGACTAACCTCAGTGCTGTAGAAGTCCTCTGCTCCGTTGGCAGCGGACACTAGATGTACAATCTGGTTGTACCGGTTGTCTCTCAGCTCTACAGAGTTCCAACCATTGGCTGACATCATACGCTCCCACTTGTCTCGAGAAATGACTGTAAGTATCACTCATAAATGTTGGAAACATTAGTAATTGGAGTCTTTATCAAAGTAAATCTTTTATCATTCAGGTAAATTCATGTGACTTCCAAAAGTAAGATGATGGGCAACCACTTTGTTTCACACAATCTTCGCTTGTCCAAGCATAATTTCAACATACTTTTTATTTCTATACAACTGTTCCCTCTCTTTGCTTTTTAACAACTTGTTTCTACATAAACTGTTTTATTATTTCCTCATTTCTTCTGAAATTATTGTGCTTTCTCCTACTATATATTTATAAAGCATACAGTTTGTTAAGGTACCAGATAAACCAGTGACTGGCTCCAAACTACAGAAGACCCCCTCTTATCCGGCCTCCACGGGACCGAGCCCCTAGCCCGGATAATGTTTTGGCTGGCTAAACCAAACTGTTATAAAAACGATAATTTGCATCTAATAACAACTTGTGATTAGTCAAAAGTAGTGTTTAAGTCTCTTTTGGGATTGTAAAAAAAAAAAATACAAATCTTTACAACCAATATAATATTTATTGATAAGTCAAGTGTTAAAATAATTGACAAAAAAAATGTTGAACTTAGATAACATTAATTATTGATTTTAAATAAAGATAGAGGAATAAATTACTCACAAAATATGACTTTGATGATTACTAGACCTTAAAAAGTCTGTTATTTTCTGTTAAACAATTTTGTCCGTTGTTGTTTTTTTTTTTTTTTTTTTTTTTTAAGCATAGTCTCTTCACTTTTTAAATAACACCAAGTCAACATATGTTAAAACGTCTTGTTGCTCTATATAGGCCAGAGATGTCTGAAGGGCATTCCTCTCCTACTCGTGGCTTATTTGATCTTACTTGGATTCTTGGAGAATTCCCACTGGTATCGCATCAGCGACGTGGTCGTCAGGTTTTTATACATTTCTTGATATTAATTTATATAGATGGATTCATTTCCTCTTCAGGGATGTACATGGCCTAGACATATATTTCATCAACACTGTAGTAGGCCGCTTGACTTAAGAATGTTTTTAGCAGGTTGTTGAATTTGTTGATAGAGGGCTCTTGCGTTATGTACTGAGGCAATTTATTGTAAATTTTTATACTATTGAAGTAAGGGCTCTTGCTTGCAAGGGTGGAATTTACTTGAGGTACATGTGGATTTGTTGCTCTTCTTGTATTGTAATTGGGGACCATGCTGTTTGTTACAAAAATATTGGGATTCTTCTTAACAAGCAATGCGGATTCCAATATAAAGAGGGACGGAAGTGTGAGAATGTTCAGTTCTTGGAACAAAGGTTTACAGTGTGTCCGTCTATGGACTCCACATATTCTTCTAATTGCACGCTTTTGAAAGATGAAGATGCGTTTTGCCTCACTGCAACCACCCCAAAATACCGAACCATATGAAATTATGCTATGAAAACAGCCATAATAAACCTTAAGGAGAATCTCGATGTCAACCAGCTTTTGTAGTCTAAACAGCAGGTAGGTGACAGATGACAGTCTGGGCGCTATTGCATCGACATGTGTTCCCAATTAAGGTTCTCCGTAATGTGTAGGCCCAAGTATTTGGTTTTTTCTACAGGTTTCAAGTGGCACCCCGTCCAAGGTCAATATCGGAGGTGGTTCAGGCTTCTTCCTGTTATAAAATTCCATTAATTTGGTTTAACTAGAATTTAGGACCAGATGATTTTTGCTACACCAAGTTGACATTTCAAGCAAGCCAGTTTGGGCGTTTTCAATCGTGATGTTTTGATTTGGGCTTGGGACTAGGTGACAGGCGTCATCGGCAAAAAGCCATAAATTTCCAAAGGATATGGAGCCAGGCAAGTCATTCACGTATAACAGGAATAGGATGGGCCCAAGGTTTGATCCCTGGGGGACACTGATGTTCAGAGCTGGTGATGGAGACGATTTATATGTCCGGAGGATGTTGTCAGGGCCTCTGTACTTCAAGGATACAATCATGTGCCGATCTTTAAGATACGATGAAATCCATCGCAGTGGGTTTCCAGAAATGCCAAGCATTCGCAGCTTATCCAGAAGGATCCTGTGGTCAAGAAGATCAAAAGCCTTTGTCATGTCGTAAAAGAGACATAGTAAGCTGTCAGATATGTCAAGGTAGTTATATACTTCCTTTAAAAGGGCGAAAATGGCATCACAGGTAGACATGTTTTTTCTGAACCCAATTTGGTTATTTGACAAGATGTTATTTGTTTCAATAAAACTTAGCAATATTTTAAGAAAAATAATCTCAAAGATTTTACCAATACAAGGCTGGACAGAAATAGGCCGGTAGTTACTTGCGTTAAGAGGATCATTATTCTTAAATACAGGGACAACCTTTGAAGTTTTCAACGAATCAGGAAAGCAACCAGTTTCAAACGAATTGTTAATAGCGCAGGCCAATGCTTCAAAGATGTTTTCATTGCAAAGTTTGAGAAGGCTGCATGGGACTTCATCAATGCCAGAACTTTTTTTGATCCTATTAATAAGACGACTTCACGAACCTCAGACACAGAAGTAGGAGACAGTACAAAGCGGCCCGCTTCGAGATAAATGGGCAACACAGGGGCTACATTATCTTTAGCCAATGTACATATTTCCTGGTGAAAAGATTTACAGAAATAGTCTACTATTGTCTGAGGATTTTTGACTTCCACGTCATCGATCATAAGAATCAGGTTTGATTGGGTCTGATACTTTTCATCGCACAGTGTACGGACCACTGCCCAAGATTCCTTGCTTGTGTTTTTGGAATTTAATATTTTGTTACAAAAAAGGCCTTTTTTGTTTTGTTAACAAGTGCAGAGTGGTGACGTTTAGCTGCGCGATAAGCATTTTTTCCGTCGACAGAACAGTGAGGCGACCTAGTATTCCAGTACAGATCCAAAGAGTGCTTCATGCGACTGCGATACCTCATGACTGACCCAAGAAGAGCTATGTTCATTCTTTGTATTTGAAGTAGACACAGGGAAACTTACATTAAAAACATACATGAACAAATCGTAGAAATGGTCAAATAAATCATTAGAGGTAATATTTCTTAAATAATTAGGTTCTGGCATCCAAGCTTCATTGCTAGATAAAATTTTGAAGGCTTCAAAAGTCGAGGCCGTAAATTTCCTCTTCACTGTCTTATTTACATTTCCCTCTCCAAAACGTTCACACAACAAGTGTACTGATAGCAAATGGTGGTCAGAAAAAAAAACAGGTTTGGCACTGGGGGCACGAAACATATGTGCAACACACGAGTCAACAATAAAATAGTCAAGCTGAGTTATACAGTCAGGTGTTACTCTCGTTGGTCCTTTAAATATAATGTTCAGGTTATTACATTCTAACAAATCCTGAAGCAGCTGACTTTCCCAGGATCTCTCAAGATTGTTTATATTTAAGTCAGGGCAAATAAGAAGCGGGATATTAAACTTATCTCTGAGGGTAGAAACCAACAAGTCGAAACGATCAATAAAATCGATCACATCAGCGCTGTTGGCAGTCCCAGGCCGATACAATACCACAACAATAATTTGGAATTTGTCTAGCTGCATTAGTCCCAAACAGAACTCAAATACACCTTCAGAACAAATGTCTTCGTCAATAGATAATGTCATAGGCTTAAATTTAAGCCTAGAGTCAGTTTTAAGCAACTGAGCAACTCCACCCCCTACTCGGTTAGGTCTAGAATATTCAGAAATGGTTTTGAATCCATTTACTTTAAAACAATTCAGCTTAGATTCATTAAGCCACGTTTCAGCAACACACAATACTTCAGGGTTTTCATTATGTAACAAAACTTCTAGGTCTTCTATCTAAAATTTACATATGAGTATTCCCTCAGGCCAGAGATTACTATCCAACAGCTTGTCAATAGAGTCAGAAGGTACACCTACCTTAAAAGATAAGTAACCCTGGTACTTAGTGGGAAGTTGTTCACACTGGATTTGCGAGTGTTCAATAGGGCACAAGTTCCTTATATACTCCACTAGGCTTTCAGGTTTCACACATGGGTCAAATCTTGATAAAAACACCCAGGATTTCCTCTGTGCCACAACAAGAGGTCCAGTTTGTTTGGCTTTGCCAATTATAGCTCGGTATCGTTGCACTTTAGATTGAGGACGTACTGAATTTGACTTCTCTCTGTCACCGCAACTATTTACATTAATCCTTTTCTTCCTAGTCACTTGATTCCAATTGCCATCAGCACCAGGAGACATACATAACTGAGGCGATACCACAACACTGGTATACATATTGGAAGTGTTTTTACCACGTTCCAGTACCTCACTATAACATTCACTTAGCAAAATTACTAATAACGTCAGCGTCATCACCACGGCCATCTTGATGAGGCGTGACGTCATCGTCAGTGCTGCCAGTCTTACAGCAATTATTAAAACTAAGTTCATCATCTCCATGCAGTGGAGAGTACGTCACAGAATTATTTCAATTACTTCCAACTACTTGAGTCAAAGTAGAGTCAGAAACAGCATTATGTACTTCGTCATTGACTTGAACTTCCGGTGGGCTCACATTGCTTTTTAACCTACAAACGTCACTGGAAATATTATCTAGCTTTGCTTTAATCAAACAATTGTCGGCATATCTTCTTGCATATCTTCTTTTGAAGTGTAATCATCCGATTTTTATGCTTCTTCATTTTCTATATAGGTTAATTATGAGTCATCGTCAGAGTTGTTGGCAGTATGTTACTAGTATTACTAGGCCCTAATGTCTCCCAAATGCAAATTGAGCCAGTCTAAGGAAGTATTAACCTGCAATCGATACTGATTATCTATGCCTATCGAGTTTTACATTTTTTTTCTTTTTTGGCTGTTCTTGATAATATTTGTCAAATGACAGGAGATACAGGGTCCATAATCGTTGTCAAGATGAAACCTTCGTGTTAGACGAGCATTGTTGGTAATTGAACAGTACAACATTCTGCAGGATTTTTTCATCACTCAAGTACTCGTTTTCTAAATCATCATCACCAGT